AATGCACAGCTACAGACTAGGGACCGAATGGCTAGGCAGCAGTTCTGTGGAAAAGGACCTAGGGGTGACAGTGGACAAGAAGCTGGATATGAGTCAGCAGTGTGCCCTTGTTGCCAAGAAGGCCAATGGTATTTTGGGATGTATAAGTAGGGGCATAGCGAGCAGATCGAGGGACGTGATCGTTCCCCTCTATTCGACATTGGTGAGGCCTCATCTGGAGTACTGTGTCCAGTTTTGGGCCCCACACTACAAGAAGGATGTGGATAAATTGGAGAGAGTCCAGCGAAGGGCAACAAAAATGATTAGGGGTCTGGAACACATGACTTATGAGGAGAGGCTGAGGGAACTGGGATTGTTTAGTCTGCAGAAGAGAAGAATGAGGGGGGATTTGATAGTTGCTTTCAACTACCTGAGAGGTGGTTCCAGAGAGGATGGTTCTAGACTATTCTCAGTGGTAGAAGAGGACAGAACGAGGAGTAATGGTCTCAAGTTGCAGTGGGGGAGGTTTAGGTTGGATATTAGGAAAAACTTTTTCACTAGGAGGGTGGTGAAGCACTGGAATGCGTTACCTAGGGAGGTGGTGGAATCTCCTTCCTTAGAAGTTTTTAAGGTCAGGCTTGACAAAGCCCTGGCTGGGATGATTTAGTTGGAGATTGGTCCTGCTTTGAGCAGGGGGTTGGACTAGATGACCTCTTGAGGTCCCTTCCAACCCTGATATTCTATGATTCTATGATTCTATGCATACTCCATGCCCAAACTGATTATGTGTTAGACACTTTAGGCAGGGCCACATTCCTGAGCAACCTAGATTTAACAAAGGGATGTTGGCAGATCCCCTTGGATACTGATGCACAGAAAAAACATCCAGCTCCCATTATTGATTTGTAACTTTTTGACTTCAAAACGTTGCCATTTGAGTTAATTAATGCAGCAACCACTTTTCAGAGGCTTGTTAACCAGGTATTAGCTTGGTTACAAGACTGCTGTGGCCTATATTGAGAATATGGCAATCTTTAGCAATTCCTAGCAGGGTCACAAAAAACATTTGAGAATTGCACTGAGGGTGCAGGTCTCACAGTCAAAGTGTCAAAAGGGAGCACTCAAAGTCATTGGGTAGGAGGGGGCCAGATTTGCTTGGATCCCTTGAAAGTGGACTCAGTTACCTGGCCTGTGCACCAAACCAAAAGCAAGTTCAACTTTTATAGGCTTGGCTAATTATTCCTGCAGGCTTGGTGGGGTCGGTGTCACTGTGTCTGCTATCGCAGGTTTTGACTTTTTGCAGAAGTCCAACAAAGTGGTGTGGGTGGCAGCCTGTCAGAAAATCTTTGGTGAGGAAAAGGAAATTCTGTGAGAAAATCTTTTCTGGCTGGTCCTGATTTTGACAAGGGGTTTGAACTGTGCGTGGACGCCTCTCAGGCAGGCCTGGGAGCAATACTAATGCAAGCAGGTAAAGGCAATAAAAAGTATCCTATTGCTTTCTTAAGTAAAAAACGGACCCCCCTCCCCCCTACAAGGGAACTACTCTGTCATAGAAAGAGAATGTCCTGCAATTGTTTGCGCAGTCAAGCAGTTAAATCAGTTTGTTTCACAGGGAGGTCAGGGCTCTAACACACTACTCTCTGTTGGTATGCCTACACAGAACAAAACGTACCAACTCCCAACTGCTGCACTGGAGTACAAATCTCTGGAAACATGATATGGAAATTGTACATATTAAGGGCAAAGAAAATGCAGTGACAGATGCACTGCCGAGGAAAGAGGGTTCTGAGATGACACATATGGATTAGCCAGTGGCTGACCCTACCGCGTTAATGTAAGGGGGTAGGGGTGACCCAGGGACCTCTTGATGCCAACAGGCAGAGGGCACAAGTAATGCCTGGGGTTTCACAGGGACCCCTGGGGTCAGGTGTAGGCATAACAGTTCACCAAAGGGCAGCATGTGAGGTCTCTACTATGAGCCAGTATCCCCCTTATCATCACACTCATTGCAAAATGTATGTATGGATAATATTTAAGGAGTTGTGTGACTATATTGGCAGTTATGTTCTCAAAGCCTTGGAGTTAAGGCAAATAAACAGGAGAGGTTCCTTTCAGGCAGGGGCTAATAGACTGGGCAGACTCCCTGTCTGGGCATTGTGCATTGTTCGCTTCACATTAGAGGTCTATTTGCATATGGAGCCAGGTTCTACTCAAGAGCTTGCAAAAATCTACAAGAAAAAAGCATACAGTAAAAACCAACCAGCAGGGGGGTCCTGTTTACAAGTAATGGCAATAAGTCATTGGAGTACATCCAGGGGGAGGGCAAAGGTAACCCTATGAATCTTTCACCAAGGAAGCAAGTTGACAGTGTGACTTGTCTCATGATAGAAAAATCACAGCGAACCCACTCTGAAAAACACTGGAAGGACTTTGGGGAGAATATCTAATTCATAGAATTATAGAATATCAGGGTTGGAAGGAACCTCAGGAGGTCATCTAGTCCAACCCCCTGCTCAAAGCAGGACCAATCTCCAACTAAATCATCCCAGCCAGGGCTTTGTCAAGCCTGACCTTAAAAACTTCTAAGGAAGGAGATTCCACCACCTCCCTAGGTAACGCATTCCAGTGCTTCACCACCCTCTTAGTGAAAAAGTTTTTCCTAATATCCAACCTAAACCTCCCCCACTGCAACTTGAGACCATTACTCCTTGTCCTGTCATCTGCTACCACTGAGAACAGTCTAGAGCCATGCTCTTTGGAACCCCCTTTCAGGTAGTTGAAAGCAACTATCAAATCCCCCCTCATTCTTCTCTTCTGTAGACTAAACAATCTCAGTTCCCTCAGCCTCTCCTCATAAGTCATGTGTTCCAGACCCCTAATCATTTTTGTTGCCCTTCGCTGGACTCTCCAATTTTTCCACATCCTTCTTGTAGTGTGGGGCCCAAAACTGGACACAGTACTCCAGATGAAGCCTCACCAATGTTGAATAGAGGGGAACGATCACATCCCTCGATCTGCTGGCAATGCCCCTACTTATACATCCCAAAATGCCATTGGCCTTCTTGGCAACAAGGGCACACTGTTGACTCATATCCAGCGTCTCGTTCACTGTAACCCCTAGGTCCTTTTCTGCACAACTGCTGCCGAGCCATTCGGTCCCTAGTCTGTAGCGGTGCATGGGATTCTTCTTTCCTAAGTGCAGGACTCTGCACTTGTCCTTGTTGAACCCCATCAGATTTCTTTTGGCCCAATCCTCTAATTTGTCTAGGTCCCAAGAAAGTCAAGTCAAGTTAGTTAAGTCAAGCTTCTAGAATGCATGTTTTGAATTTATTTTATATGTAACCATTTGTTTCCAGTTACTTCTACTTGCAATAATTTGAACTCTCTACTCTTTGTTTGCTAGACTTTGGCTTGTTTACACTATAAACATATCTAAGTGCTGAGAGTTGAGCAGTGCTGTGATCTCAGGTGTAGCTGGTAAGTTGTGGTGCATGGTTCCTTTGGGAGCAGAGAGTCCGTGAATACGGAGAGTGGCCAGTGGAACAGCAGCTGGACACTCCGGGTGGGCACTCAGAGGCTTGGAGGCTGGCGTGTGCCTATTGCTAACCTGCGGAGGGACAGCAGAGCCTGTGTACGCTGAGAGGGGTGGGCTTGCGTTGCCCGAGGCTGGTGGAGTTGGGGAGCTGACCCCTGGCAGGCATAGGCAAGACTTCTTCACGCTAAGGGCAGGTGATCATGAGGTGCCTCACAATGCTGGTACCTCTAGGAAGCGACACCAGGGGCTGTGCTGGGAAAGTGCGTAAGTCCTGCCCACACTATGCACCGGCACTGCCCGCCTTTCCTGAGCTCTAAATTAGCTAGTGCTGGGAGCAGGATGGGAGGCGGGTCTTATTCCTCTTTAACATTTATTAAACTACTTTGTTTCTCTCCCACCATCTCATCTCTTCACCAGCCCAGACAGGGCCCTCACACTTCCCAGCACCACTTCCCGAAGAGCACAGCTCAGGCAAGAACCTCTCGTCAGCTTCACAGCGAGAATGGGATTTTAGAGAGAGATTTAAACAACATCGACAAAAGCCTTTCCTCTCCATTCTTAGTGGGGCACCTGGTTCTTGCCTATGCATGACCCAAATGCTTTAGAGAGAAAGGACTGGCTTGTGGCCTGGGATTCATGAGCCCTGGGTTCAATTCCCTGCTTTACCACGGGTTGTGTGTGACCTTGGGCATGTCACTTAATCAGTGTTGCCATCTGTAAAATAGGGATAATCATCTCTCCTTTGTCTTTAGATGGTGAGCTCTTTGGGAGGGACTGTCTTTCACTATGTGTACAGCCAGCCCCCTGATCTCAGCTGGAGTCTCTAAGGGCTACTGGAATATCAATATTTGCTAGCAGAAGGGAAGCAGGGGCTAAAAAGGACCTTGATTTCTTCACGCTTGCTATAGGAATTGTGCCAGATGGATGAGGAAGGAAAAGAATTTCAACCCCAATTATTCCACTGTATTGAATGAGGATAGAACAGAGCGGAGCAGCAGCTGCAGTGCACATGGCACCCCATGGGGAAGGAGCTGGTGCTGTTCAGCTCGTGTTGGATCACGCGGCCCTTCTTCTCCCATCAGTCCCAGTGCAGAGGCCTCCACGGGCACCGTCCCACATCTGAGAAGTGGGCAGGGAGCAGGTGTGTGGGAAGGAGCGCATGAGTGTGGAAGAAGAGGGTGAGTCCCCATGGCCACTGATCAGGGAGAGCTCACACTGGCAGCTCAGTGGCAGATGGGTGTTGGGCTCACCTCCCTTCATCCTTCGCTCCGGGCTCACTCCCCCTTCACACCTAACAGGAGGTGAGACATGTGCCTGCCCACCCCCAGCTGGCTAACAAGCCCCACCCTGACTGCCGGATGGTTCTGGATAACTTCAGAATGAGTCACCGCCCACCACACGCAGGCTCGTCGTTCCAGCTGGGGAGGGGAGGGAGGAAAGAGGAGACCGCTATGGAGGAAGATAGAGAGGAGCCACTTACTCCTACCTGGCTTCAATGACATGGCAGTGCAGGGCCCTCCTCTGGGGCTCCTCTAGCACCTTCAGATCCAGGCAGATCTCTCCTTGAACCTCTTCATTGGGGTCCACGTGCGTCAGGTTGATCCAGCTGTCAACCCCTGCAATGGCGGAGAAGTCCATGTAACCAGCTCCCTGGCTCTCCCTGCCCCACCCACCTCGGGGGGCTGACGCAGCATGCCAGCTGCCATACTGGCCACATGCACTCCCTGCGCAGCCCCCCACCCCGTGCCATGGGAGAGGCCTTAGGGGCGTTATCCACAGAATGGCCAGCCCCAAACAGTCAAAAATCACTAGTCAGCCCCCCAGCTCCCCAAAATCACGAGACTGGCTTAAAATCAGGAGAGCTACAAAACTATCACAATAGACAGGGGTTCTCTTTCCTCGCCTTTCAGTACCCTTGGGTGGCACTTGCCATCTTTTCCCCAAAGCATCAAAGGCTAGAAAAAATAACGAGGAGTCCTTGTGGCACCTTAGAGACTAACACATTTATTTGGGCATAAGCTTTTGTGGGTTAGAACCTACTTCATCAGATGCATGGAGTGAAAATACAGGAGCAGGTATAAATACATGAAAGGATGGGGGTTGCTTTACCAAGTGTGAGGTCAGTCTAACGTCACCTACAGCCCCCAACTAAAACCTCTCCAGCACATCATCAAGGATCTTCAACCTATCCTGAAGGACGATCCCTCACTGACAGACCTTGAGAGACAGGCCAGTCCTCACTTACAGACAGCCCCCAACCTGAAGCAAATACTCACCAGGAACCACACATCACACAACAAAAACACCAGCCCAGGAACCAAACCGTGCTACAAACCCCGGTGCCAACTCTGTCCACATATCTATTCAAGGGACACAATCATAGGACCTAACCACATCAGCCACCCCACCAAGGGCTCATTTACCAGTACATCTACCAATGTGATATATGCCATCATGTGCCAGCAATGCCCCTCTGCCATGTACATCGGCCAAACCGGACAGTCTCTACATAAAAGAATAAATGGACACAAATCTGACATCAGGAATTGTAACATTCAAAAACCAGTAGGAGAACTCTTCAATCTCTCTGGTCACTCAATAACAGACCTAAAAGTGGCAATTCTTCAACAAAAAAACTTCAAAAAAAGACTCCAATATGAAGCTGAAGAACTGGAATTAATTTGCAAACTGGACACCATCAGATTAGGCCTGAATAGAAACTGGGAGTGGTCGGGTCATTACAAAACCTGAACTTAATTTCCCCAATACTGATTTCCCCCTACTGTTACTCACACCTTCTTGTTAATTGTCTGTAATGGGCCACTCTCTTACCACTTCAGAAGTTATTTTTCCTCCCTTAGTATCCTGCTGTTAATTGATTTATCTCGTTAGACTGACCTCACACTTGGAAAAGCAACCCCCATCCTTTCATGTATTTATACCTGCTCCTGTATTTTCACTCCATGCATCTGATGAAGTGAGTTCTAACCCACAAAATCTTATGCCCAAATAAATGTGTTAGTCTCTAAGGTGCCACGAGGACTCCTCGTTATTTTTGCTGATACAGACTAACACGGCTACCCCTCTGAAAGCTGTCACCATCTAAAGGCTAGAAAACCATTTTTCTTTTGAAAAGGCAAGCTGAGATTCTTTCGTAACCACATGACTCCAAGACCTGGGGCTTGGATGCCAAATAGCCGGAGAATCACAACATCATCCTGAGAGTCAGCAACACAGGAACAATGCTGCCAGATGACCTGCCCTCTCCATCTGCCAATACCTTGCCACGCTGTGCTGCTGGGGGGAGTGGGGGTCGAGGGTGTTGCTAACTCCACAATGCAGGAAGTTACCAGACAAACCCTGAAAAGTCGCTAGATGCAGCTGTTTAAGCTCTCAAAAGGAGTCAAAAATGTCACCAAACAAAATTTCCAGAGAATTCAACAGAGAATTTTATATATCGATATCTATCTATCTATCTATCTATACACACACACCCGGGCGAGTATAGTCCCAAAGTCATTCACAAGCAGCTCACTAGTGTTAATAAAACCCATGCCAAGCTCTTCCACATTCTGCTGCACACCAGAAGCAACTACACCAGTATACCAGGAAACTGCAGCCCTCTGCTCTTTGGGAAGGGCACTCTGTACATGGCAGCCCAGGTTGGCTGGGGTTGGCTACTTTCAGCTGAGCCTCCCTTTCTTGCCAGCCTGGATTTGAGCTGACAGGTTAGTGAAAGGGAGAGCCCAGAGCCAGGGGGAAGAGAGGATTCGCCTGACCTGAGCTCAACGCAGCAGGGAGTCAAGAAAGTAGATTCAAAAAACAAAAGTCCGCCAGTTGGACCCCTTCCCCGTTTCCAGGGTTTGATTTCTGAGAACAGCTGGGCAGCTAACCCCAGGCCAAGCCAGGGGGAGGAGTAAAGGGGAACTGAAATCAAGCTAGCTCTGCCTTCGATCCTGTAGTAAGGGCTGCATCCCTGGAGGCACAATGCTCCCCTGCCCCATTGGAGCCCTGTCTCATCCCAAGCCACCGTCCATCCATGTGGCTCCCCTCGCTGGCTAACCCGCCCACTTTATTAGCCATCTTTCCCTGCATCCCAGGCTGTGCTACCTACTGCGTAGCAGCGAGAAAGAACATTTGGGTAAAAACAAGCCCTGGGCCTGGTGCTCTCTCCAAAGTGTGCCTCGCTTTAGCAAAGTATTTAACTAGCCTCCACAAACTTCTTTTCCTCACCTGCAGATTACAGTGATCTCAGCCCAAGAAGCCCTGGAATGTGATTCCTTCCAAGGAGCTGCTCCATTGAGATATAATGACATTGACTAGGTGTGCAACAGAATGTAGTAAGAAGAGCATGGAATGGATTGTATTAACACTATCGAGCTGCTTGTGAATGATTTTGTGACTATGCATATTGGTGACTTCTTCCTCTGAATGTCACTGTAATTGGCAGTGAAAGTCACTAGATTTGTCACTGGTCACTTTGACACTTATTTTCTCGCTAGGGAAACCAAAAGGTCACTAAATCTAGTAACAAACTAGCTAGGCTGGCAACATGCCAGGGCCCTGCTCGCTGGGGGAGGCTAGGATTCTGAGCCAGGCCTCGCTAGGGTTGCCAGGCGTCCAGTTTTCAACCGGAACACCCAGTCGAAAAGGGACCCTGGCGACTCCGGTCTGCACCACCGACCAGGCCATTAAAAGTCCGGTTGGTGGCGGGGGGGTGAGGATGGGGCCTGCAGCAGCTCTCTTTGTGGAGCTTGGGGCCGGTGTGAGCCCTGGCGGGCAGCGGGCAGATCCCCATGGAGGGGCTGGGAAAGGCACCCAGCTGCAGGCTGAGGCTGGCAGGGTTAACCCTGGGCTCCCTGTGGAGCGGGCGTTGTGGCCTTTAGGAAGTGCCTTTAGCCCCCTCCCTACCCAGCCTGCTGCTCCCCAGCCGGCGGAAGTGGAAAGAGGAACCAGCCCAGCTTCCCAGGGGCTGGATGCAGCCGGCGGCAGGAGAGGGGGCCAGGGCGAGCCGCCACCACCTGCCCCGGGCCCAGTAGCCCACTTCACGGGACTTGTCTCAGGACCATGCGGCCAGTAGGTAAGGGGCTGTGGGCTGCAGCCTCCCCCCGGGATGAATGGGCTGCGCAGAAGCATGGGGCTAAAGTTGGGCTGCTCTCCCTGGGAACAGGTCCTAGCAGAGTCGGGCAGCAGTTGGGCGTGGAGGCACCAGCCAGTGGCCAGACTGGGGTGGACGAAGGAGAGGGGCTGGGGGGGGGGGTCACGACAAATGGCGGGGAGAGGAGGAGGGGGCCTGCAGCAGCGCCCCTCCCTAGAGCTGCTGTGTTTTGGGCTCCACTCGGGGAGCAGCGAGCCAGGGGCAGCAGTGGGGTGTGTGTATCACTTGTGGGGAATTCCTCCCCCCGCATTCCAGAGAACAGGAAATCTTTTGTCCTTGGTGCGCTGGCCGAGCCATGTGTCCAGGATTCATGGCAGATCGAGCAGCCTCTGAGGCCCAGAAATGCCAGGGCGGCGCTGGTGCAGCTGCTATTTAAGGGGCTGCCTAACATCAGCGCCTCCCGGAGCCTCTGCAAACTGCACCAGCCAAAGCCGCCCAGAGCTCGCACCCTGAACCCTCTCCCATGCCCTAACCCCCTGCCCCAGCTCGGAGCCCTCTCCCACACCCAAACTCCCTCCCAGAGCCTGCACCCTGCACCCCCTCCCACACCCCTTGGCCCCAGCCTGGTGCCCCCTCCTGCACCCCAAACCCCTCATCCCTGGCCCCATCCCAGGTGGGCCCCCAGCCAGAGCCCTCACCACCTCCCGCACCCCAATCCCTGCCCCAGCCTGGTGCAAATCAGCAAGTGAGCGAGGGTGAGCTGAGCAAGCGATGGAGGTGGGGGGATGGGGTGAGCAGGGGTGGGGCCTCGGGACGGGACGGGGCGGGACAGGGAGCGGCGTGAGGGTGTTTGGTTTTCCGAAATTAGAGAGTTGGCAAACCCAGGCCTTGCGGAATGGCCCATAAGTTGCCAGTTTGGTGCCTACTCCCCTGCATGTCACCTGGGACCCAGTCACTGTCTTCAGAAGACACTGCTGCAGCCCCAGTGCTCCCTCCGCAGCCCCAGCACCTACCTCGTGGGGAAGACGAAATCCATTCTCTACTGAGCAATATTTTGCCAATGACATCATCGTGCCTGCAAGGAAAGAGAGCCAGGTCTGGGCAAAGAATGCCTGGAATTAACTGCCCTGCACAGCCAAGGAGCAGATTACCCAGGGACCAATCCACCTCAGCGGGCTTCCTCGCACCACTCAGCTGTTCAGGGAGGGATTCATTCCCTTCGTGCTTTGCTCTGCACAGCTCCACCAAGGAAACCAACTGTCTAACGTCTGTCTCTGGCAGTAGTTACAGTAGGGAGCCCCTCACTGGAGCATCGGAGAGCCTACATCTCCTGAGGTCCGTCCTGTGCCTTGTCCACAAGGTCTTGGAAAAAACAGCCCTGGGAAGCAGAGAATTCCTCCTCCCTGGCTGTTCACTGATGGGCTTCTCCCCCACCCATCCCTGAGGCAAGCCAATGGCCAAGTCAGCCCCAAGCTCAGAGGCCCAGACTGTGGAGGAGCCCTCGGGTGGGGGGTGAGGGGGTTTGCGAGGAAATACGGGAAAGTAAATACTCTAATAATCCTGCTGCCTGTTTGCTGCTGAGTCAGGGGCCAGCCCCAGGGAAAGGGTGTGCCAGAGCGTGGCACCAGAGCCCAGGGGCAGCTCCATCGTTCCAAGCAGAGCCTGGCTCAGTAAGACCCACTGCACTTCATTCCTGTTCTGAGCCCCAGACAGACCCGGGGTCCTCTCCAGGCCCAGAAGCAGTCCCCTATGCCCCCTCCAGCTCCATCTTACCCAATGGTGTCCTCGTCCAGCACGTAGAAGGCAAGACTGTGGAAGCCCCTGGGCAGGTGCAGGGTGTACTCCTCCCCCCAGAAGGGATTCAGGTTCTTCCACACGGTAGCGGTCCTGCAAGCAGAGCGCAGGGGCGGGTGAAGTCAGTGCCAGCGGCCAGGACCATCCCCCTGCGAGAGGCGATTAGGCCGAGCCAGCATCGTAGGTCACGGAGCAGTGGAGAGGGGCTGTGAGAGGGATCACAGCTGGTGGACCCAGCCATCACTGTGAGAACTACAGGCTCAGTCCCTACCCCTGGGGGTGGCCACTGGGGCAGATTTACTCTAGCTGCTTTATCCCAAGGGCTTTGGAAGGAGAGGCAGAGGATCAGGCCCTGCTCAGGGATTGAGAGATCACCCCAGGCTGTCAGAGATCTGGACCTCACAGCTCCACGAATCAAGAGCATGTACCATGCACGCTGACCCCACCAAACGCACAGAGGTACACACGACCCCTGCCAGAGGCATGCAGCGTCCACTGACACACTGACACAAAGAACTACAGTCACACATAGCCAAAGGGACGTAAACGTCACCAGCAATCAGTCACTCAGCTGCTGCCGACACACATCCCCAGCAGCAAACAACCCCCCAACACACACAGCCACACAAATGCCAGGGCGCGAGCACAGATACTGCCAACATGTACAGCACCAGGCACACACAAATAGCCTGGCACACCTATCCAAAGGCTGCCCAGCCCATGCAGCATCACAACCCTGCCACATTTGCCCGAGATCCAACCCACAGAGCTGGTAAGGCACGGCTCAAGCAAACTCCAGCTCCCTGTTCTGCCTGTCCCACTGCATGCTCCCTGCGGGGTATATCTCAGGGCCTCCTTCTCTACAGCAGGCTGCTGGCCCAAGGCGCACATGGCATGTGGCACCCCCCCTTGGGACTTCCAGACCTGGGGCTAGCGTTTACTGCTGCTTCATTCCAGCGCAGGGGGTAGGGGGAGCGTGAGCTGGGGAAAGCTGTTTCCTGACACCCAAGGAAACCTCAGCACTGGCTGGCTTCAGTGCCCTCACCACTACTGTGGGTCCCATGTGGAGGGAAGGGGAGGCAGCGAGGTGGGTGCTGCCGTTGGCTCACACCTCACTGAAAGGAAGAGAAAGAGAACAGAGTTCAGCACCTCTAGAGCAATTTACAGCATGAAGGTGCCATGCAGACATGAGCCATCAGCCCTCCTGAGCCCCCCATGTAGCAGGGAAGCATCATTATCCCCATTTTACAGATGGGGAAAGTGAGGCCCAGAGGGCCAAACCCATCTGCTGCGGTTAATGAAAACACAGCCAGGAATTAATTTAGCCCAGAGAGATTAACCAACTTGCCCAAGGACACACAGCAAGTGGGCGACTGAGCTGGGGCTAGAGCTCATGACTTCCCAGCTCCCCATCTCATTTCCCAGGGCTTGGGGATTCAGATTCAGAACAAGCAGCTCCAAAGCCTCTCAGCGAGCCAAAGGAAACATTGTGCTCAAGCATTTCAGCTACGTTGCATGTGGGAGCTTCAAGAGGGATCCCCCCAGGCTGTGGGACCCTGTTGCAGAGGAGCGGGTCTCTGTGGAGAGACTGAGCTAATTAAAGAGGGCTGGGCTGCCCCTGGGTCTACAAAGGGCAGCTAGTTGGGAGCTGAGAGGGAGCACTGAGACAAGCTGGGCCCTGGGCAGCAAAGGACACGCAAGAGGGGAGCTAACTCCTGCAGTGAATCCCTGGAGCGAGGGGGCTCAGGCTGCTGCTCCAAGGGTGGAGCGCCATGGGCGGAGGGGAGGAAGCTGCTAGGAGCTGGAATGTCAGAGACCCTGGGAGGGTGGAACTGCGCCTGGAGCCAGGCAGACAACTGGTACCTGCTGATAGTGGGGTGGCACAATTTAAAGGTCCACACCTCCCCCAACACCTTGAGTCACACACCCCTTGCCCCCCCAGGGCACCTCTCCTTACCCTCAGCTCTCAGTTGTTTGCTCCTGCCTCTCCCTGTGGCCACAACTTGCAGCTCACCAACTCCAGGAGCTGCCACACAGGGAGGGGGCCCGGCTGGCACACCCTGGCAGAAATCTGGGGGGCACTTGACTCCATGTGTCGTCCCCATACATTGCCTCTGGGGCCAGGAACTGACTTAAGACTGCATTCTAGTTGTTGGTTTAACCTTTTTCGTAAAAGAATAAACCTCTTTAACTGGGACTGGGTATGGCAGTGGGGGTTTGGAGCTGAGGTGCAGCAGTGGCCATCTCGGGGACAGACCCCGTCTGCTACCCCAGTACATCTGCTTTTCCTCCCACTTCTTCCTGCTGCAGGATCTGGGCTCTCAGGCCTTGGGCGCAGGAGGAGATGAAGACATCTAGCTCCCTGCTGATTAGGGGAGTTGGATTCCCTTGCTCAGTAACCTCCTGCTGGAGATTCTGCAGCCTTGGGATCAAAGATTCAGGGGAAACCAACTGCTGGACCTTGCAGAGGGGAGATGTTGTGCTGGCCTCCAGTGGGTGAGCCCCACACCCATGGAAATCCCAGTCCCCAATCTCATCACACGGAGCTGAGCTGAAGGCTGTAAAATTGTCCTTTCCAGTCAAAGAGAGGAGCTAGCTGCCTGGAAATGCATGGATGTCCCTGGATGGAATGAGGACGCAGCCTTGGTGCTGGGCTGGGAACAAACTCCCAGTTCCAAAAGCCCATAAAGGTTGGATCCAGACTTTGCATGCACCCCACCCACCGAAAGACATTCCTGGACCAAGCTTTAACCGCAGACACCAGTCCCAGTGCTGTGGCGGGGCCCCTCCCTGGCCGGGACATGGCGCTTCCAAGGAGCAGGAGGTTGTTTCCATTCTCCCCTGGAGTTATGAGCAGGACAAAGGGTGGCTTCCCAGTGGGGAGAACGGTGCAGTGGCAGCAGGGCTGGCGATGAGCCTGGGCCAGATCTGGGGCTGCTCAGGAAATGAAAGCTGGGGGACGGGCAGGGACAGGGGGCAGGGGATGATTAAGAAGAAGGAGAGAGAGAGACAGAGAGTGGAAGAGAAGAGAGGGAGGGAGGGAGGGAGGGAAGGAGATGTGCTGGGCCGTATGTGAGGACCATGGATGAGGCTGGGAGGACCCAGGCCCCTGACCCTGTGTTGCTCTCCTGCGCCCACTCCCCCAGCTCTGGCCAGATACTCCCTCCCTCCCCTCCAGCGAGCACTCGGCCAGCTGGCTGGAAAGGGGGAGACGCTGCCACCTCTCCAGAAGGGGGAATAATTTATGGACTTCTCCATAGTAACCACTTCATCACTGGCCAGCTCCCGAGCAGCTTCTCTGCGCTGCCAGAGGACTTGGAGCACCACGGCAACCACGGGGGCAAGGTGGAGAACCTGCGGGGCAGAAGGAGCGAGCCCAGCCTGCAGGATGCTGCCCGCCCCCAGGGAATCACAGGGGAGAGTCTCCTCTGTCCAGAGAGCAAGCAGGGGGCTGTGTGCAGCTGGAAGCCACCAAATGCAGCTATAACCAGGGCTGGTTCGAGCAACCACGCCCGTGCCGGTGCGGGGACCACCTGATGGCCTCACGCAATGGCACAGCATTGCCACCCCCACCGGGCCCGCACAGGAGTTCCATGGCAGGGCAGGCAGCTGGCGGCCCTGTGGCTGCAGCCCCATCACCCTTCCCACCCTGTGGGCTCCTGGAGCCAGCAAGTGGGAGAGCAGAAAGGGTTCTCCCCCCGGCAGGCGCAGTATGGGGTAGGGGAGCACAGAGATAGGAGTCATCATGGTGAACAGAGCAGCGTGAGAGCATGCTCTCGGAAGCCAGCCTAGGACAGGCAGAGTTGGGCATGGGGGGGCGGGGGACGGGGCACAAGGAGAGACAGTTTGGGCCTGGAGTTGATTCCTCTGTGCAATGTGACGCTGGGCGCATCATCCCTCATGGGGTCCTCTCTGGCCTGACCAGACATGGCTGGGGAGAAAGGCACCTGCTGAGCTTATAGAGCTCCCCCACGGTTCATGCTCCAGCACCTCCCATCCCAGAATCTCAAAGCCCCTTGCACAGGTGGCAGGCAGTGTCATCATCCCCATTCCACAGATGGGGAAACTGAGGCACAGAGCAACACAGACCCACATTTTCAGAAGTTGCAGCTAGTTTTTGGCTGCCCGATCTAACACACTCAGGGCCGGACTGCTGGAGGTACTGCCGGCCCCAGCTTTCCAGAAGCAGCTGCTTGGCCCAGCACCTCTGAAAAGCAGGACCCAGGTGCTACAAATTGGGCACCGAAAATCGAGCACTGAAATATGTGGCCACTTTTGAAAATCTGCCCTAAGTGACTTGCCCAGTGTGTCAGCGACAGAGAGGGGGTTAGAACCCAGAACTGCTGAGTCCCAGCCCTGGGTCTTATCCAGAAGGTGACCCTTCCTTCCCTGGCCCTGGGGTTCTGTTGTTTCCCCCTCCAGGGCTGGATCACAGCCGATCCCCAGAGCTGCAGGACAGTATCTCACTCACCCCTTCTCAGGGCACAACGCAGGAGACCCAGCTGACGTGACCCACTCAGTGCTGGGCCAAACAGCTGAGCTCGCAGCTCCCTCCCCTAATGCAGGGTGGGCCAGGTAGCTTTGCTCAGCCCTTGATAAGCTCCTTGGCGGGAATGAGATTCTCAAGTCTCTGTGTCTGGAGATCCCAGCCCCTTCGGGCCAATGCCTGGGATTAAGGGCCCAGTGGTTAAGGGCCATGGTTCTATGTTATTCCTGCTAGGTCACGTGACCCCAGGCATTGGCTGGCTGACGCCAGTGCGGGGCTGACGCCAGCATGTTAAGGCTACAGTTTAAAGGCTGCCTCCTGCAACAGGTGGGGCAGGGGTGTGAGCCCTACGAACAGCACATCCGCCCCCAGTGCAGCCAGCCAGAGACCCCATCCGCACTGCCAAGGTAACCATGCTGTGGGCAAGTGGCCAGGTTCCAGTATGGCTCCATCCCCCGGTGGAGATGGGATACAATGGGCTTTAACTCTGTCCCCAAATACACTAAAGCCATGAGCAAGGGCTGGGCCCTTCTCAGCAGGGTGGGGGGCGAGTTCCAGGCCTCCTAACTTGGCAGCTGTTTGCCATGCGGATGGGACTAGACTCAGCCTATGACCTAAGTTTGCTGGGTGCAAGCACGTATGTGCTGATACGACTGACAGCTCCAGACAGTGCAGGCCTTAGAGCCACATCTTGCAGACACGCCAGGAGATCAACGCCTGCAGAGACAGCCGAGTGAGCGGAGACCAGCGCTTTGCTCTGTACATCAGCCTGTATCACACTGAGCCACGTCACCCTGGCAGTGCAAACGCCCCTCCTCGACTGTGCTGTCCTGTCCCATCCCCAGGGCCCCCAGCATGGCACACTCACCTGGCTACCACCTCGTTATCGACTTTGACGATGCAGTAGGGGTCGCTGGTGCCAGACCTGGGGAGGGAAACCAAACAAGCAGGCAGATTAGCATTGGTCCCGGCGGTGTCCGAGCACCTCCCGCAGGCCTCTGCAGCCCTCCAGGGTCACCAGGGCGAGCGCTGTTTGCAGCTAGGTACAGTGGGCGGCTCTGGTTGGAGGCAGGTATAACAGAGCATGGCACAGGCAGCCGGACGCTCTGCCTTGGTGGGGGGGAGAGGGCTTCCATCAAACCCGCTGCTTCCCTTCATCGGGAGGCCTGACCAGGGCGTGGGGTAGCACTCCACTCCCAAGGGAGCATCAGGATTAGGCTGACCTGTGCCCTGGCCCTTTAGGGACGGACGGTCTGCTGGGCCCCGTAAGAGGCAATGCATTGCATCAGGACAACTTCCACTGCCCTGGCATGGCCCCAGGGAAAGCACAGCCAGGCAAGCAAAGGCTCCCTTTCCCCACTTCCCATCCCCCAAATCCCCTTCCCCTCCTTCTCCCCCCTCCTCCCCCCGATGGCTCTGTGTGGCTCTTCACATCCTCTGGTGCCCGGCCCGCCAGAGACAGCAACGCTGCCTTCCAACTTGGGCCTCCATGCCGTGCTGCCAAGGATCACTACGCCGGCTACTGCCAACAGAGCCCTGGGAATGCACAGTCCATGCCCCCAGGAGCTGGCAATCCAGCAGGGCTGACTGTGGGGAACCTTGGGTGAGCCAAAGGCTGGAGCTAACTGGCAGGTTTCTTTGGAGTCTCGCTCATTGACGTCGGGATCACATGGAACTAAAATTCAAAGTGATCTTGATAAATTGGAGAACTGGGCTACAGATAACACAATGAAATTCACCAAGGACAAATGGAAGGTGCTACGCTTAGGGAAGAGAAACCAAACGCACAGATACCGAATGGGGGATAACTGGTTTGACAGTAGCACTGCTGGGAAGGATCTGGGAGTTGTGGTGGATCCCACCCGCAATGTGAGTCAGCAGCGTGATGCTGCTGCAAAAAAAGCAAATGCAACGTGAGGCTGCATTACCAGAGGCGCAGCATGCAAGTCATGGGAGGTGATAGCATGGACACTGGGTAGGCCTCAGCGGGAGCACAGCGTCCAATTTTGGTCACCGCTGTATAGACAGGATCAGGGGAGGCAGGTTTGTCTAATTTCTGGTGGTGCCCAGAATGGGTCCAAGTCCCATGTACACCTCCCCCCACAAAACACACACCTGCCTGCCTAAGGCTCTGGGGTGGCGTTTGGGTGCGGGAGGGGTGTGGGCTCTGGGAGGGAGTTTGGGTGCTGGGTGTGGGCTCTGGGCTGGGGTTGGGGTGCAGGAGGGGGTGAGGGGTACGGGATCTGGGAGGGAGTTTGGGTGTGGGGTGCAGGCTCTGGCTTGGGGCAGGGGGTTGGCGTGCAGGAGAGGGTGAGGGGTGCAGCGCTTACCTCAGGCGGCTCCTGAAAGTGACCCGCACACCCCTCTGGCAGCGGTTTCTAGGCGGGTGGGCCGGGGGGTCTCTGCACACCGCTGCCTGCAGGCACCACCCCCGCAGCTCCCATTCGCCGCAGTTCCCGGCCCATGGGAGCTGCAGAGTCAGCACTCAGGGCAGGGGCAGCGTGCAGAGACACATACCCCCAGGGCTGCAGGGATGTGCCGCCCGCTTCCAGGAGTGGCACGGAGTGAGGGCGGGCAGGAAGCTGCCTTAGCCCCGCTGGCTGCCAGTGGTGGCGGGGGGGGCCAGAGGCCCCTTGAGCCCTTTTAAATCGCCCGGGGGTGGCAGGTGGGGCTGGGAGATGCTCTGGGGGAGGCACGCAGGGGCAGCAGGCGGGGCCGGGGGAGACACCCGACCCCAAACATTGGTGGAGCCGGGCTTCCGGGCCCTGAATATTCCTGGAACATAGGCACCACGGGCCCATATAACTCGCCGGCCCTGGACAGGATGTGGAGAAACTGGAAAAGATCCAGAGGTGAGTGACAAAGATGATCAAAGGGATGGAATGCAGCCTTACGAGCAAAGGCAGAGGGAACTGGGTATGTTCAGTTTGGAAAAGAGGAGATTAAGGGGGGACATGACAGCGGACTTCAGGTACTGAAAAGGCTGTCATAAAAAAGATGGAGAAAAGTTGTCCTCTCTTGCCACAGAGGGCAGGACAAGAGGCAATGGATTCAAACTACAGCAGAGCAGATTTAGATTAAATCTCAGGAAAAACTCCCTAACTGACAATGGAACAGACACCTAGGGAGGTTGTGGAAGCTCCTTCCCTGGAGATTTTCAAAAGGAGGCTGGAGCCGTCTGTCTGGGATGGTTTAGACCCAAACACTCCTGCATCTTGGCAGGGGTTAGACTAGACGACCCTTGCGGGCCCTTCTAGCCCTCTGGCTCTAGGGTTCCATTCTAAGGAGAAGTGACCAGAGGCACCTGAGCAGAAGCCGTGGGTCCAGGGCATATTGGGGTGGGCGGGGGCAGCACAGAAGAAGGGGCCAAGGCCTGCATGGGGAAGGGTGCCAAAGGAGCATCTCATTCACTTGGGCCAGCGCTCAACAGGTTCCAGGGCAAGTGCTTCCCCAAACCCTCGGGCCTGCAGACTCGAACAGGAATCCCAGAGGAACTGCTTTCTGCATGGTAGCTGGACCTGGCTGGGATCAGGACTGGATACAAAAGTTTGGATCTAGAAATGGACATGGCTTCATAGGGGGAGTGAGGGGTTGCAAGGAGGAAGAACGTTTTGGCGGTTAGCCAGTGGTCCCCCATTCCTAATTAAGACAATCCCTGGAAAATCAGGTAGGGCAAGGCCCTGAGACACACTGGGGAGTCACTGCTCTGCCCTGACGGCCCTCAGTTGCTCAGGTTTGGCTTCAGCCCCGGGTGGCAGGGCTCAGGGCCCCAGGCTTTAAGCCCCATGCAGCGGGGCTTTGGCTGTCTGCCCTGAGCCACAGCAAGTCTAGCACTGGCCATGCTTGGAGGATCCCCTGAAACGAGCTCACGGCCTCCCAGGGGACCCCGGACCACGGCTCTAACCCCAGCCTGGTCAGGGAATACACAGCAGCAGCCAGAGAAAGCTCCTATAAAGTCAGCATAGCTCCATTAACCTTGTGGGACTCGCTGGCTGAGATCTAACCCAAGGGGTTAGATTTGTTCATATATTCTTGACAGTTGCTTTCTTTCACACAACTTCCCTCTGCACTGATCAGAGATAAGAAGGGACTTTATCTCTCTCAGGATTCGTCTTTTCAGTGAGTTTCAAAATTCCACAAAAGGAGAAAATAAGCAGCATTGGGACAATTGGCCTCAGTTAGGAGGTGAATTGTAGTCAGTGAGGAACTCACCTGACAAGGCAATGTAAGGCTGCCGATGGACCAGCTCACTTACTAAACCGAAGCTGCCATGTTTTCCGTGTTGCACAATCAAACTCAGAATTTGTACAGATTTTTGACAGTTGATTTCATTATAACTCATTCCCCTTAACTCTGACCCATGAGTCTTTCTTGTATGTGTGGAAGTTGGCTTGTTTTCATCCTAATGTTATTTCAAAGCTGTTTAATGTTAATGTACAATGCAACTAAGGTGTGAATTTTTAACACAAGGGTTGTGGTGGAGTCTCCATTACGGGCAATTGTTAAATAAAGACTGAGGTTTTTCTAAAAGATCTGCTCTAGTTCAAAGAGGAATTATTGTGGAGAAGTTCTATGGCCTGTGTCATATGCAAGGTCAAACTAGATGAGCACAGTGGTGCCTTCTGGCTTTGGAATCTATGAGTCTGTGAAATATAGGGCATAATCCTGCAATAATCCATGTGTGGGAATATCCCTGCAACTCTGGGGAGCCCCTTGACTTTAGTGGGACTGACTCATGGAGTTGCCAGATCTCATTATTTTATCACCAGGTGTCTCATGATATTGGGGTTTTTTTCTGGAAATCCGCAGCTCCCAGAGCCAGGTGATGGGGACACTCAGCTTTCTTTTTTAAAGTGGTACTTTTCTAGCAGAGGAGCAGGGGTTGGACTAGATGAGCTCCTGAGGTCCCTTCCAACCCTGATCTTCTATGGTAGGAGAGCTGGGGACACAGCACTGGCGGTTGAGGGGATCCAGCTATGGAATGAACTTCTGGAGATCAGGCAAATCTGGAGTCTCACCATTTCTAGGAAAAGCTGCAAATCCTTCTTTTTTAAAAGACCTTTCCCCCTTAAGAATGAAACTCACAACACTGACTCCCTTTCTATCCAAAAACCCGCCACCACTGGCCCTCTCACCAGGCATCCACAGGATCCATGCCACAGCCCCAGCTTTGGAACGGTCTCTAGGAGGAACCTCTCGCCATGCCAGACCCCAAAGGGGCTCGCTCATCCTCCTGGGTAGGCCACGCGACCTCACTGCCTCCTTTGACTGAACCTCTGGGGCTCAGCACACCAGGAGCTCTGTTCAGCAAGTCCAGCTGAGAGAGAGACTTGTCCACTCTGCAGGGATGAATGCACCTCACCAAACGTTTGCAAGGACAGTGCTGTCCCAACAGGCGGGTTTATTAGTCAGCTGGAACCCAGCCTAGGCAGGCCTTAGATTAGCACAGCACAGCCCATGCCGGTTAGCGCACAGCTGCAGCGAACCCCACTGGTCAAGCTCTGTGTCTCTCTCGGTCCGATCTGTCAGTTCCCAGGCAAAAGAGTCCCCACCTTCCTCCAGCAGCCATCTCTTATCCCCCTACCTCATGCCTTCCCAGGCCTTTGTTTTCGAGCTGGGGTCTTTGCACAGCTTCCCGGCGGAGAGGTGGGGAAATGCGTCCCCCTCTGGGTTGTGGATTAGTAGGTGTCAGTGTCCTGGTGACTGGCTTTTCCATTGTCTTCTCAAGGCCTCTGCCAGTCATTTTTTCTTTCAATGGCCCTTCAGGCTCAGACAGCCAGGCACCATTCATAGCTATGGCCTTGTCTACACTACACAGCTCTGTTGACAAAAGGCAGCTTTCATCGACAAACCAGTGAAGGTGCATGCCCGTGTAACTCCGTGTAACATGCCCTCCTGCCCGTGTAACTCCCCTGCTGCGCCAGT